AATACAAAGATGAGATGCAATGTACTGGATGGAGTTTACTAATCACTTTCGATTACAGTGTCTAACCCTGAGCCCTGGGGCACCACACAGTTTAGAAGCCAGGGTGAAAAGGTGCCAACATGAGAATCAGAGGGAAGTCCAAACGACCAATGAGGTCTGAGGGGAGAGCTGAAGAATCCATTCAAACAGTAGCCACCCTGTCCACATTGTCGAGAACTCAACTGTAAAAAGCAGAAAGCTTGGGAAGGAAAAGTGCAGAATCTGTAAAGGACAAAGCATTTATTCCTAAAAAGGTCAAGTTGACCTTAAAAGGTTTCTTTTATGGTAGAAAGAAGAGTTAATAACAGTCAAAACCAGACTGTCCTCCCTGCCAGCACTGGGAAGAAACTACCAAGTAAAGTTACATAAAGTAGCACTGTGTGTCAAATTTATGCTTTGCTACATTGATCAACAATTTGACCAAAGGCTCGGACTTCTCCACCCATGGACATGAACAGAGCCAACAGTTCTCATCTATGCATAGCCTGTAAACCTAAACAATACAGAGTACCTTCAATTGTCTGCTACAATATGGCTACTGTATCGAGAAAACGGAAGTATCAGCCTTATGTGGCTGAAATTGTTACACTTTCTCCATCGTCAAACCTTCTGCCTTAATGGTCCTTTCACATTATTCCTCTAGTGTGGACCCCAAGTGTCCCCCAAAGGACCATGAAGTGAAGGCTTGCTCTTCTGGTGCCCTACTCCTGGTCATTGGAAGACAGTTGAGAATGTCGGTCTAACGGGAGGTCTTTAGTCATTGAAGTTGGCCTCGGAAGGAGCTCTGGGACTCCACTCTGTAGTAAAATGGAGCAGAGCAGCGGGCCTCTTCCCACTGCCCGCCCGGCTAGCTTTACCCGAAATAATTACACGGAAACTGTATTCATTTTTTTTAAAGATTTATTTATTATGGATACAGTATTTTCAGTATTCTGTCTGCATGTGTGCCTGCAGGCCAGAAGAGGGCACCAGATCTCTTTACAGATGGTTGTGAGCCACCATGTGGTTGCTGGGAATTGAACTCGGGACCTTTGGAAGAGTAGGCAGTGCTCTTAACCACTGAGCCATCTCTCCAGTCCCCGGAAACTGTATTCATTTAAAACACTGCTTGGCCCATTAGTTTCAGCCTCTTATTGGCTAACTCTCACATCTTGATTAACCCATTTCTAATAATCTGTGTAGCACCACGAGGTGGCGGCTTACTGGGGAAGGATCTTAACCTGCGTCCATCTTGGAGAGGAGAGCTATAGCGTCTAACTTACTTCCCTTCTTCCCAGCATTCTGTTCTGTCTTCCCCGCCTACCTATGTTCTGACCTATCAGGCCAAGCAGTTTTCTTTATTAATTAACCAATGAAACAACAGATAGATAGAAGACCCACCTATATCAGAGTTCTCCTTTGCTCAAGTTCTCCTCTGTATGCTGTGAATATCATTGGCTCATAAAGGAACTGTTTTGAACCTATAGCAGAGCTAGGCAGGAAAGACTGGACTGAATGCTGGGAGAAAGAAGGGTGGAGTCAGAGAGACAACATGGAGCTGCTGCCAGAGTCAGACATGCTGAAACTTTGCCTGTAAGCCACTGCCACATGGCGATACACAAATTAATGGAGATGGGTTAAATTAAAATGTAAGAGCTATCTGATAAAAAGTTAGAGCTATTAGGCCAAACAGTGTTTTAGATAATATAGTTTCTGTGTGATTATTTTGGGTCTAAGCTAGCCGGGCAGCTGGGAACCAACAAGCGTCCTCTGCTAACAAGACACAGAGACACAGTTTACTTCCTGTTGCCTGCAGATCAAGATGTAGAACTCTCGGCTCCTTCAGGACCATGCCTGCCTGTATACCACCATGTCCCACCTAGATGATAACGGACTAAACCTTTGAAACTGTTAAGCTGCCCAATTAAATGCTTTCCTTTCTAAGAGTTGCTGTGGTTATGGTGTCTCTTCACAGTAATAGAAACTCTAAGTCACCATTGATAAAGCTATTGCTGGGCGAGTTATGCCTGTTGCATTGATAGAAACCCTAAGACAGTGTTAATAAAGCTAATTTTGGGTGGGTTATGCCTGTTTTGATAGAAGCCCTAAGACACCATTGGTAAAGCTAATGCTGGGTGAGTTCTGGCCATTGTGAGTTGTTTGTTCCAAGGTTAAGCCTCATGTCAATCCTCTCTTTAGATATGGGTAACAGTAATGGTTCCTCTGTGATGACTTAGCAGTATTGAGCTCCACATTTATTCTTATGAAAAGATCATGCCAACGCTGGGTGTGGTCGCAATAGGATGGAGAGTTGGAGAACAGTGCGTGCAGCGTCTTGAGGTCTGCCTTAAAAGGTTTCAGTCCCTTCTCATCCAGATTCCTCTCCAGCTCTCACATACAGCTATATCTGTGTGCACGTGCAGGCTGGATGGCAGCCTTGGCTGGGCTGCGTCCATTTTTGAGACACTGGCCTGGAACTGCCAACGAGCCCCAGGAATTCTATCTCTGCTTTCCTAGCACTGTTATTATAAGCATACAAAATCATATTTGGCTTAAAAAAAAAAGAAGTGAGCTCTCAGGATCACATGTTACACATTCAGTGATCTCTCCATCCCCTCTACCTTTAAAAAGACTTTTGTGTTTGAGTGTTTTGCCTGCATGGATTATTTGTAGCATGTGCATGACTGGTATCCTTGGATACCAGAACTCCTGGCACTCTAACTCCCGGAACTGGAGTTACAGATGATTGTGAGCCTTTGGGGGGCAGGGTGCTGGGAATCAAACCCTAGTCCTTAGAAAGAGCAGCTCGTGGTATTAGCCGTTGAGCCATTTCCCATAGCTAACTTTGATGTACTCACTCAATCCCAACTTTTTTGACTACTCATTTTAGAGTTTATTTGTATCATCTTTAATATAATTTATAAATGCGAGATGTCTTTTTTAATGGAGTAAACTCTTTAGCGTTAAAATATCTGTCCTTTATCAAGTGTTAAGCACATGAAAAATATGTAAAAATATGCCTTATTTTGGTTAGATTGTCCTGGTTACAAGAAACACAGGCTATAACTTCCTTAAGTAACAAGAAAGATTATAGAAACGAAATCTGGACAAAGCCCAATCAGTCCATAGGAAAAATAGGATCTGTAGCAGAATTAGGCTGTAGCTTTATGTTTCAGGATGCTAGGACAGAGTCCAGATTCAAACAGTGGTACTCAAGTTTCTCTGTTTCTGTAGAAGGGCATTTGAGAGCAGAAAGTAGCCAGACAACTGTGGTCAAATTTGGTGAACATTTATGCAAACACCTAAGAGCCAATGAAGCTTTTTATCAGCAGTATTACTGAAACTCCTCTGAAGGCTTGTTCATGGAGGGGTGTCTACTTTTAGAGGAGCCTTTATATTCATGGTGCCAAATGGTCTCACCTCATTTCATTCCATTTCAACATTTTTCTATTTTAAGTCAAGCTTACTGAAGTATCAGTTATAAATTAAAAATTTGTTAGCATAGTTTTGACAGATACATTGTATACCCATATCACAATCAACAGAATTCCACTGCTTCCCCCAGATCCCTCAAGCCCCTTAGTTAACCACTCCCACTTCCTAGTCAATGTTTTCTGTTTTGTTTTCTCCATATGGGCTCAAACTGCACATATACTTTCCGGTCTGAAGTCTTTCACTGAGAATGGTACCTATTCATTTTGTGTAGTTTTGTTTCCAAGTAGATTCCACTTGCATATGTACCAACATTTGTTTATATATTCACTAACTATAGGGTACTTAGAGTGTTTCTAATTTTAAGTAGTTATAAAATGTCTTATTTTTGTATATATGTGTATCTGCTTGGGTTGATATCTAGTGGGACATCTGGGTCATAATGTAAGTGTATTATTTTGTAAGTAAATGAACTCTCAAGCCATTCTCCAAGTGTTTGCTCAATTCTGCATTTCTACTAAGTGTTTCGCCTTCTCTCCCTTAACGTTTAGATGCAAAAAAATTAACCAGGTAGATGTTTACTGAGGGGCATGTATGTGTGAGTGTATGCACACATGTGCACAAACACATGTAGAGGCCACAGATCTACTTCTGGCCTCTCCCTGGATTGCTCTTCACGGATTGGTTAGGTTAGCTGGTCAATGAGCCCTAGGGATCTGCCTGTCTTTGAGAGGCCAGCCCTGGGCCACAGAAACATACCACCAATAGAGCTGTCTATCTTCTAGTGCTAGATAGCCTTTTACAGGGGTGCGCAAAATGTTTGCACGGCAAGCAAGCATCAAATGAACCATCTCCACACCTCCTTGTTTACTTTGGCTTCCATTTCCTTCCCTAACCACTACACCGTTCACACTTTTGCAGAAGGAAAGTCATACGGAGCAATGAAATATTAGTATGTGGAGAAGGTTAGCTGAGGATTACAGCTAAATTCAAAATGTTTATTTTGTGTTGTTTTCTTTTTCAAAGCAGGGTTTCTCGTGTAACCCTGGCTGTCCTGGAACAGTTTCTACAGACCTGCCTGCCTCTGCCTCCCTAGTACTGGGATCAAGGTGTGTGCCACCACCGCCAGGCTCAAAATGTTTATTTTCTGTTAATTCATGTAATGTGAAAGCACAAGTGTGGATGAAGAAGGTAACCATGCAACCTGGAAAGTTCTTTCTCTGCTCACAGAAGAGGGTAAGAGGTGAGTTGGAGCAATTGCTACAACTCTTGCATGTTGTGTGACTACACTGAGGAACCCAGCTGAGCCTGGGACATCTCAGTAGAGGCATTATCGCTGATGTTTCTTGCTTAAATCATGTCGTTACATGGTTAGTGCAACAGAGAAACGATTTTTGCCCCAAGGTTGTTCTATGTTGAACCCTAACACGATCACTGTGTGCCCTTAGCTGAACACTGAAATGTGAGCGAGGACAGAGAAGCACCTTTCTAGATGTGAAAGACCCTGTTCCCCTGTGGTTGGTGCAAGGCAGAAAGAGAAAGAACACAAATCATGGTTCGAATGCTGTTTTACAGGATAGCAGCCCTTGTCAAGTTACAGCTTTTTGACACAGTCAGGACAATACACCTGCTCTTCGTGAAAGACGAAACGCTTGTTGGCCAGATTTGCAGAGCACTTTTTGCAGTTGAAGCAGAAGTCATGCCAGAAATTCTGTTCATGAGATACCACATTAGATCCTGAACCAAAGCCAGTGATGGGATTCTTACATGCAGTACACTTCTTGGCCACAAAGTTCTTGTAGCATTCCACGCAATAATACTGGTCACCCACTGCAGTGAAGCGCTGCCCACCCAGCTCCTTAGCGCAGGAAACACATACAAAGCACTCAGTATGCCAGGGCTGATTCTGGTAACTGATTCCTCCTGATGTGATGGGGTTATTGCATTTCACACAGCGCTTGGCAAACTTGGCCTCGTGGCAAGCCACACAGTAGAACTCATCGTCTTTAGGGAAGAAACTTTTGGTCCCGATAATTTGCTTGCAGTTGCTGCAGGTGAAGCAGTTCTTATGCCAGATGGTGCCCTTGTACTCCACATTCTGGTCTCCTGCCACAATATTCTGTTGGCACCCTTTGCATTTGGGGGAGGCCTCCTGAGTGGCACAGGTGTTGCACAGGATCTTGTTGTCCCAGGCCACAAAGGTCTCACTGGCCAAGCGCTGAAGGCACTTGTCACAATGCAAGCAGGTTTTGTGCCAGTAGCGGTTCTTATAATGTACCTCCTTGGAATCTGCACTTATGAGCTTATGGCATTGCTCACAGGTATTGGCACAGTGCTTGTCAAAACACGCCAGGCAGCAGTTGAAGTCGTCCCTCTGCACATACTTCTGCCCCTGCAAGGAGTCCTGGCAGTAGTGGCAGTTGAACTTCTCAGACATGGTGCCTTATAGCTGGGGGACCTCGCATTGGATGTGCAAAGAACAGGCTGTGTTTGGGATGGGCGGAGCACGGTTGAGAATGGCTGTCAGTTGCTGCCTGGAGATGCTTGCCCATGCAGCTGTGGTGTCTGCTGGGCGGTGGCTATGAAGCTAGAATTCTACAGTAGCTTATCAGGCTGTACGAAAGGAAGAGGGCTTGGGCTGTCTTTGAAGGCCACTCTACTCAGCCCCACTAGTCATGTCTGTCTTCTACCTCACTGCATGTTGTCCACTCCATAAAAATAGTTGGTACAGATAAGACTTGTCAGTGTACTTTAGCCAAAGATCAAGAATTCCTACAAGCTGACCATGTTGAGGTTATCACTCATCAGAGGAAAGCAGAACATGCATCCCAGTCAATCAGATGGTATCTCAGTAATAGGGTGTAAAGCGGGGCTCTTCAGATTTAGGGTCGAGTTAGATGTTTTGGAGGAGGGTTTAAGGAAATAGACCTTCTTGCCTTTCTTTTGTGATGAGGCTGGAGTGATTGTATGGTTCGTTATCTTCATAAATGTCACCTATAAAGAGGAAAGGCTAGAATGAGTAAAACTATAGCCAGTGAAGAAGCAAAAGCCACTTAACCAGTTCATCCTTCTCATTTTGTATATTCTGCTTGGTGATCTGAACAACATTCATGATTTTGTTTAGGTTCAAGTAACTAGAAAGTAGTCTTTTTGTTTTGACCATTACCAATTGTGAAGTAGCCTTGCCTCACACCGTTTTGCTTAACTAAAAAATACCAAGGTCTAGTTATGCCAGGCCAGCTCCTACCAACATTACAGCCTTGTTGATAGCGCTGGGCCATTTGCTGGGTTTCGGGGACTGCTTTTCTCTAAGGATGCAGTGGTTAAATTGAATGTAGTGGCTTATACCTCAAGCCCAAAACTTGGAAAGAACACAAGTTTCAGGTCAGCCTGTCACATAGAGAGATCTCATCTCAAATAAGAATATGACAGTTAACAATGTGGGTTGTGGTCACAACATTGGATGGTAAAATTTTATCTTCAACAGTTGTGAAGATAGACTAAATTAACATATCTGCTTCAGCTCATATGATTATACAAGTGTTTGCCTCGTCACGGACAGAAACGGGATGGCACAACCTAACAGCTTGTGTCAAATCATGAGTCAAGGAAGAAGAAAGAGTTCAGGTAGGTGTGCAGAGACCAGTAACACGAGAATAATAGCATTTATTATTTATGTTGGATGGCAACCTATTCAAAGCTGCTATCATTCAGTTCATTTCAAAATAACAAAAGAATATATTACATAAAGAACGTAAAAAAATGTTGCTGGAGGCAGAGGTAGGTGGATCTCTGAGTTCAAGGCCAGATTGGTCTACAAAGGAAGTTCCAGGACAGTCAGGGCCACACAGAGAAATCCTGTTTTGGGGGGGGCACATTTAGGTCAGCCTATAAAATAAATAGGGCCTGATTTCACTGGGGGTCCTTCTGGTTGCATCAAGGTATCTGAAATCAAGATAGCATCAATATAGAAGCAATCTCACCAAGATCTTCACACATATTCTCATATACATCGGAGTTGGTGAGAACTGAGCGGGATGCTATTCATTGTCAGAGGTAAGGAGCCTGAGGCAACAGAAATTGACTGCAGTCAGGATACAGGACTACCTCGACTTACAGTTTTAGAAGGAGCCAAAGCTCCCCAGTATCTCCATTAGTTTATGAAACAGAGAGAACCACAGCTTTGAAGTATGGCCTTAAGAACTAGCAAAATCATTGTCAATTTGGGGAAGAAAGTTATAAAGTGTAATTTTGCACACTGTAATTTTGCCTAGATATCAACCTTGAAAGTCACCTATTGAAATCCGATGAAGAACTCAGGGTTCTGTGACAGTAACACCCCAGGTCAGACTCTCCTAGACATCCTACTCAAATTAAAGTGATAAGATCGGTACACACAAGATTATCATGATTAGTTTCAGTACAGTGATTTAAATGGATTTAACTCGATGATTTGATAACGATTAAGAAGAAGTCATACTCTAGTCCATTCTACTTAAGAACTGGAGCAAAGCTAGCTCCCTCCCGGGATTTTTCTTTCTTCACAGTCCTTTTTCTGAGACCTATCAACACTATTCAGTTACACCATGCTATTGTCCTTTAAAAACTGAGCCCCCCCGCCCCCCCGCCTGTGAATGTGTCCACATGGCTAATGAGGTTGCGAAAAGGCAAACCTTACACTACCACCTCTTCTTAGCCTCTCCAAAAGCTTAGGGTGCGTTTATTGTCATCTCTGTCTTAAAGGTGTCAAAGAAAAGCAGCCTTTGAGCGACCTCTCTCCTTTGCTCCCCCAAGCAGCCTCCTAGGCGGCTATTACAAGGTCCCTCTGAAGCCCAGAAGAGTACTGCTTCCCACCCCAGGCTGAGGCAGGGCTGGACTTGCAGGACTCTTGGGTTCCGGGGTTCCCACCAGGCACTTTCTTCCCAAGGCCGTCGAGGGTCGGGAACCCGAAGAAGCCTTAGTTACAAGTGACCGAGGGCAGCCTTTGCTCACTCCCAGTTCATGTCTCACAACGAAGGACCAACCTTTTTCTCCGTCACCCAAACTCCAGGCTCCCTGCAAGGCCTGGGCACGAAGCGCTGCGGGATGAGGGCAAACCTGGTAGAATTATTGTTATTATTATTATTTACGCCCAAGAACTCCGGCTGTAGGACAGACAGGCGGAGGGTGAAGCAAACAACCCCCAAAACAAAAAGCCCCAGCAACTAGCAAGGCCTCTCCTTCCCTATCCCTTGGCCACACAGGCTGCCCCCGAGGAGAACCGCTGACAGAAGGCTACAGAAGGATGGCTGGTGACACCGGCGACCACGCCGCCCTCCGCAGGGGAGCAGCTCCCAGTTCCCAGAACCGTTACTCCCCTCGCGCTCCCCCAGCGCTCGCCCAGGGGCCGCCGACCAGGGAGCGGCTGGCTGGCTGCCGGCTTGCCCCTCGCCCACTCTGATTGGCCACCCGGGGCGGAGGGGGCGGGG